CATCTTCCAGGGGATACATTTAAACCAAAGCACTCGCCATCTACCTGGGCCCTGCATTAGCTATCACAAAATGCAGGGCTATCACAAAAAATTAGCTAAGCCAAATGAAGAAAGCAGTTCAGGAAAGATGCAGTGAGCCACTGGTTGAAATGCTCTTGACTTGTCAATAAATGTGACTGAAGATTGCCTAGTGGATTTGACAAGGGCAATTTTGGTGGCGTTTTTGGGTCAGATGTCTGAGTGGAGCAGGTTCAAGAGAGATAAAAGGAGAAGTCAAGACAAAGCATAATGAGTCTTTGGGGAAAGTTTTGACATAAAAGACAACAGAAAAATGAGACACAGCTGGAGCAGAATGTAGGGTGAAGAGAGGATTGTTTTTTAACACAGGATCAAAGAAGGGAACATTGGTAATTAATGATTCAGGGGAAAAAAGAGGGAAATTTCAGGACAAAGCCTAAGTTTCACCTCCTTTGGCCTCACAGTTCTAGCTCCATAATTATCTTAGTCAATCCAAGCTGTTATAACAAAGTACCATAAATGGGATGGTTGATAAACAACAGAAATTTATTTCTCACAGTTTTGGAGTTTGGAAATTCAACATCAAGGTGCCAACATGATTGGGTTCTAATGAGTGCTCTTCTGGGTAACAGACTGAGGTCTTTTCATTGTATCTTCATATGGTAGAGAAAAAGTGAGATAATTCTCTGGGATCTTTTTTATAATAAGAGCACTAATCCTATTCATGAGGACTCTACCCACATGACCTCATCACCTTCCAAAGGCCCCATCTCCTAATCTTATCAACTTAGGGGGAAGGATTTCAACATTTGAATTTTGGGGCTGGCTGGGCTTGGTGACTCACATCTGTAATCCCAGCACTTTGGGAGGCTGAGGGGGGCGGATCATTTGAGGTCAGAAGTTTGAGACCAGCCTGGCCAACATGGTAAGACCACATCTCTACTAAAAACACAAAATTAGCTGGGCGTGGTGACAGGTGCCTATAATCCCAGCTACTAGGGAGGCCGAGACACGAGAATGGCCTGAACTTGAGAGGGAGAGGTTGCAGTGAGCCAAGATTGTGCCACTTCCTGGGCGATAGAGTGAGACACTGGAAAGAGAGAAAGAAAGAGAGAAAGAGAGGAAAGGAAGGGAAGGGAAGGAAAGGGGAGGGGAGGGGAGAGGAGGGGAGGGGAGGGGAGGGGAGGGGAGGGGAGGGAAGGGAAGGGAAGGGAAGGGAAGGGAAGGGAAGGGAAGGGAAGGGAGGAAAATTTGGGGGAAACAAATATTCAGTCTATTGCAAAAATATTTCCACAATATTTTGATTTTCCTATTCTTGTTATTCCTTTCTTAGAGATCCCTTTTGATACAGAATTTAATCAATTCACATATCATTGCATTTGTTTAGGCTACTTACCATCCTGAATCAAATGGCATTTCTGGTGTACCCAGAAGATCAAATTTGAAGTACCCACCAGTGCAAAAAAGGGTGTTTTTATGTATCCTCCTTGAAAGGTTGGTGGATTTTGTGAAATCTATCCAGGATTTTTGGTTCTAGCCATGTGTGTGCTTCTGGTCTCGATCAACTATTGAAGCAAACAGCAAGCAATCTGATAGCTGCTTCCCAGCTGCCGCATAGAACGCTAGGCAATTTTCTGGTCATAACGACTTTCACAGCTCAAATCGTGCCACAGACCCAAGAACTTAATTTCCCCAGCTTCTAGTCCTCTTTGTGGAAACCATTATCTTTTGTCACCTTCTCTGGTCCCTCAGTAGGACAGTCTCCACTTGTCCAATATGCTGGCCATTAGCAATTGGAAATTTCACTCCTGAGAGTGCTGCTTACAAAGAATGGGACGATTTGCAGTCCATTTATTGTACCCTATGTTCTTTAAAATTTATGAGGCCATTTGCCTGGGCCCTTATTGTTGAAAGTGAATTGACCATTAGCAGGAGACTATTAGCTGCTGAGTGGAATCTGCTGTAGGGTATTCTCAAAGACCATTAGCTTTCCATCGGGGGGCCATTGGTGTTTACTGTTTATTGTATGCTTCAATTGCATGCATTGTTCCCCTGAGGCTGTAAAACCTTTAAAAGCATTGAGAATAGCTTTTAAAAATCCACTTGAAAAGGTGTAAGTAGTTTCACTAGATACAGCTAGTGAAGAAGAGGAAGAGCTGATCACCAGGCTTTGCTTTACTCACGATCAGTTTGGTGTATTTTTGCCTTCTAACTCAGTGGATTCTTCCCCTTCCCCTGAGCTTCAGAGTTAACTGTAAATAATGTGCATCAAGTCATTTCACACTTAATGCAAATACCAGTCCTGGAACAAATATTAAATAGCACCAATCGAGCCTTTTATGTTCTTTATCAAACCCCAAGGTAAACGCCGCTTCTGAAAAGAAGTTCTTTTCTGCACATGCAATTCTGATATCTAGTCTCCAGGACATAAGCTTTACTCTGCTATTGCCGACGAGTTAACTGGGGAATGGGGAAGTTGTTGTGCCCTGTTTAAGAAGATTGGGTAGGCAGGGCAATGTGTAATCTCAACACTCTGGGAGGCCAAGGTGGGAGGATCTCTTGAATCCAGGAGTTCGAGACCAGCTTGGGCAACAAAGTGAGACTCCCATTTCTACAAAATTAGCCAGGTGTGGTGGTGCATGCCTGTAGTTCCAACTACTCTGGAGACAAGGTGAAGGATAGCTTGAGCCCAGGAGTTTGAGGCTTAATGCAGTGAGCTATGATTGTGCCACTGTACTCCAGGCTGGATGACAGAGCAAGACCCTGTCTCCAAAAAGAAAAAAAAAAAAAAAAAGTAGGAAGATTGGGTGGTAGCATGGTAGCCTTGGGAATAAAACCCAGGTCTCTAGCTGCCAGCCCAGGGCTCCCCGCCCTTCCTCTTCAGCTGTACCCATTTCGGTGGTCAAGGAGCTATAATGAAGGTTGTAGCTAAGATTTGCTTCTCTCTCTCCACCCTGAGCCTGATGCTCTTGCTACAAAGAGAAGAATTAAATGCAAAAGGAATCCCTTCTCATTGACAGAAAGGGGAAGAGAGGAGTCTTTCTGTCCCAGGCTCAAGAGGGAGGCACAAAGTCTTTGCTGCCTAGTAGTGGGGCAAAGGGCGTGGCCCTCTTCATTTGAATGCTGTGAGGGAATAGGAGAAAGAGAGGAAGAGAAGGAGGAATCCCTCCTTACAGAAGGGTGGAGTGGGAGGAGAGAATTCTCTACTCCATCCCCTCTGGGCAGTCCAGCCGAGGATTCCTTCTTCCAACCTGCATCAACAGTCTCCCAAATTATCCCCCTCCTCCAACCCAGCACCCGCAGAGCAGCCCTGATGAACTCTAAAACACAAATTTAGGTCAGGCACCGTGGCTCACACCTGTAGTCCCAGTACTTTGGGAGGCTAAGGCAGGTGAATCACCTGAGGTCAGGATTTTGAGACTGGCCTAGCCAATATGGTCAAATCCTACTAAAAATACAAAAATTAGCTAGGCATGGTGGTGCATGCCTGTAATCTTACCTACCAGGGAGGCTGAGGCAGGAGAATCGCTTGTACTCAGAAGGCAGGCAGAGGTTGCAGTGAGCTGAGATAGCGCCATTGCACTCCAGCCTGGGCGATAGAACAAGACTCTTAAAAATAAAATGTAGGTTTGATTGCTCCCTAAAGGGGAACATCACCACCACTATCACCCCAACCCTGTGGCCGCAGCAGGATAAAGCCCAAACTTCACGACAGGCCTTCAAGCTGCTCCCGATCTGAACATGCTTCTCAGCCAAGACGTGCAGCAGCTCTGCCCACCCCAGGCTGCAGTCTCTGGTTCTTCTAACGGAACACGCTCCTCCTTTCCCCAGCCGCTCTTGGAATAATGAATGACCTATTTAATGTGTGTCTTCCCCCAACACATGTATGTCTCGTCAGGGCTGGGTTACACTTCTCTGTTGCTGTTGCATTCCTAGCTTGAGCACAGTGCCTAGGTTTTGAGGTCCTTGATAAATACATGAAAATTAAATGAACAAACAAGTGAAAGTCTATATGACCTTTGTGGCTCAAAACAGAAGTTTCTTCTGCCAGGGAGCTTTTCCATAATTCCCAAAGTCTGGCAGGTGCTGGCCTGGGCACTCCCATTGCAGCTCAGCCTCCCTGGCCCATCTCACACTGAGCGGTAATTGCCTATCTCCTTCTCTCTGTCTCCCCCAGGCCTCGAGGCTGAGCGCCCAGAGAATGAGTCAGCCTTCTTAGGGGCTTATTTCCGCTACCTAGCACGAAGCCTGGCACAGCGATCATACTCAATATTTGTCAAACGAAAGACTGGATGCCCAACTTTTCTGATTCTTTAGTTTAAGCCACCCAAGAAGGGTGAAAAGCAATAATATCATGTATGGGGCATTGTGACAAGCACGCCACACCCATCACCAGGCATGCCTAGCTGTCACTAGCTAGTGACTACAACTGAGGACACTCATTATCACCCAAATCGTCATGATTGTGAACAGCCACTTCTACCGCCAGCTTAGTCTACCTTAAAATGGAAGAGCAATGTCTACCTCGCTAGCTCTCCCTCTCTCCGATTTGCCTTATCTGGTTTCCGTGAATTTGTTTAATATCCACAGCCTCTTTCTCTCTTTCACTCACTCCTCCTCCTCCTTCATTCCTCTTTTATAGTTTTCTCTGCTTCTTTATGTAAAGCAAGTACTTTAGCTGGATGACACTGTAAATTAACTTTTCTGCATTTTCCTTTCATAAGTATAAATTGGAGGCAATAATACTTACCTCTTCTACCATTAAATGCCATAAATCCAAAAAATACCTTTTTCCTAGGGTTATTGGGAGAAATAAAGAAAACTATAGATTTAAAGTACTTAGAGCAGCGCCTGCCACATAATAAGTTCTGCTGCTGCTTTGGTGTATGTGCTTGGCTCAGGAGCCAATGGGGCGAAGCCACCGTCTGTGGGATTATGACTGAACGCCTCTAAGTCAGAATCCCACCCAGGCGGAACGATAGGGCAGCGCGGCGGGGCCTCGGCTGGCCTCGGTTGGCCTCAGATAGCCGGTCCCCAGCCGTCTCCTCCTGCGGGCCGCTCCGCCCCGCGCTGGTCGTATCCCGCCGCGCGCCGGGACCCAGGGTCTGGTGCGGAGTGCCCCTTGACCTGGGAAACGGGGTGCCGCCGGAAAGGCCGCCGCCCCCTCGCCCGTCACGCAACGCAACGCACGTTCGTGGGGAACCTGGCGCTAAACCATTCATTCATAGACGACCTGCTTCTGGGTCGGGGTTTCCTAGTAGCAGAGCGGCTCCCTCGCTGCGATCTGCTGAAAGTCAGTCCTCCACACAAAGGTTTGTACAATAAAAAAAAAAAAACAAAAAACAGTTCAGCTGCTGCTATAAGTCTGTGGGCCTTCCCGGAACACACAGGACCAACTCAGCTTTATCCTTCACCACCCAGTTAAGCCATCAGCACAGATCAGCCAGCATTTCTTCCTATTTCCAGACTCCCAGAGGATCCAGCTTAGGCCAGGCATTTAATCAGCTATTTAAAGTCGTTGGGGGGCCGGGGATGGTGGCTTATGTCTATAATCCTAGCACTTTGGGAGGCCGAGGCTGGTGAATCACCTGAGTTCAGGAGTTCGAGACCCCGCCTGGCCAACATAGTGAAATCCCATCTCTACTAAAAATACAAAAACTAGCCGGGCATGGTGGTGCATACCTGTAATACCAGCTACTCAGGAGACTGAAGTGGGAGGATCATCTGAAACTGGGAGGTGGAGATTGCAGTGAGCTGAGATCGAGCCTCTGCATTCCAGTCTGGGCAACAGAGCCAGACTCCCTGTCAAAATAAACAAATAAACAAACAAATAAATAAAATAAGGGGGTTGGGTTTTGAAGTGGAGATGAAGTGCAAGATTATATTACCCATTATGGGCTGAATCGTGTCCACTCCTAAACTCATGTGTTGAAGCCCTAAGCCCCAGTATCTCAGAATATGGCTGTATTTGGAACTAGGGCCTTTGAAGACATAAGCAAGTGAAAATGAGATTATATGGGTAGGTTAATACAGTTGGACTCGTGTCCTTCTAAGGAGAAGAAATCCAGACACAGGAAGAGACACCAGGGTTGCACACACGCTCAAAAGGAAGACCTTATGAGGACCCAGCAAGAAGGCGGCCATCTGCATGCCAAGGCAAAGCCTCAGGAGAAGCCGAGCCTGTGGACAACCTGATCTTGGACTGACAGGCTTCACAACTGTGAGACAATAACTGCTATTTAAGCCACCCAGTCTGCAGCGTTTTGTTACAGCAAACCTAGCAAACTAATACAGTGCCCAGAGACAGTTGTTGGCCCTCATTTTTTAAAGTCTGTTTATATGAGATTTGTTTTCATGGTCCAGAAAGACCAAAAAAAAAAAAAAGTTGCCTTTAAAACATACTACCTAGGCTGGGCATGGTGGCTCACACCTATAATCCCAGCACTTTGGGAGGCCAAGGCAGGCAGATCGTCTGAGGTCGGGAGTTCAAGACCAGCCTGGCCAACATGTGAAACCCCATCTCCACTAAAACTACAAAAGAAAATTAGCAGGGCGTGGTGGTGCATGCCTGTAGTCCCAGCTACTCAGAAAGCTGAGGCAGGAGAATCGCTTAAACCCAGGAGGAAGAGGTTGCCGTGAACCTGAATTGCACCACAGCACACCAACCTGGGCAACAGAACAAGACTCCATCTCAAAATAAAAAATAAAAAAAAATTCCTGGAACACAGTCAGGGATCTACTACCAGGAATGACTAAAATTTGTGGTTATTGTCATTGCTGCTTTACTGTGTTTGTTTTTGGTGGTGGCGGCCATGATGCTATGATTTTCATTGAAAGGAGAAATCACTCAGACCACTCTACAGCCCACAAGTTTCAAAGACTCTCAGGATAAAGGCAAAAATAATGACTGTGTTTCTACACATAAGATGTTTTCAAATGTTCAGATTCCATAGATAAAACTCAAGGTCACTTATTTGAATTCAATATTAGGTTGAGAATAATGATGATAGTAAAAATGAGGAAAGCATTAAAAATAGTAAAGGCAGAACAGAAACTGAATCAAAGAGAGAGGAAAACCTTATAAATCTGTCAGTAACGGAGGAAATAAGAAAGTCAATCAATGATTTGGGTAAATCATTGATAAAAGTTTATCTCATTATTTATTTATCATATCAGTTTAACAGAATACTTTCTGCAGAAACTTTGTTTTTGCTTTTTTTGAGGCAAAGACATGTTCTGGCCTCCCTTTTTCTGTGAAAATGAAGCACAGTTGGATAGCTGGCGCTCTGAGTCACTGGATTCCACGGTGTCTGTTGTCTTGCTTTAGAATCTAGTCAGGCTTTTTATATTGTTTCTATAGGAATATTGTGTTTTGTATCCCAAATAACAAAATTCCAGATGAATTTTTTACTACAACGTGTTTATAGCTTCGGCCGATGATCTTCCATTTCAAAAGAGAGGCTGTAGTTTCTGCAAACACTCAAATTGGTACATCACAACCTACCTAAAGAAAACATAAACCGTCACGTTACAAAGAATCGAAATTTATTCCTTATCATGTAACTGGGTTCAAAACATGAGAGGCTACCTTAAACCCTGTTAAACTATGACTTACGTTTTAGTGAATTAGTCCTCTTTAATTTTCATGTATTCCAAAGTTTCTACCACAAACTTGTTTTACCTTTGTAATCAGAAAATGGATACAAAAAACCGTTTGATTTCTTTTTTGAGATAAGTCTCACACTCTCATCCAGGCTGGAGTGCAGTGGCTCACTGCAGCCTTGACCTTCTGGGCTCAGATGATCCTCCCACCTCAGCCTCCTGAGTAACTGGGATTATAGGTGCATGCTACCACTCTTGGATAATTTTTTGTAGAGATGGGGTTTCGCCATGTTGCCCAGGCTACAAATGATTTTTAGAAAGAGATTCTGGAGCTTCCTTTAACATAATTATAGAAAAAAATCATTAAAGTTGAAAAAATTCCATTTGACTCCAGAAAGATTTTATTGAATCCTGCCTTTCTGGAACAATGCCACAAACACCAATCATTCTTCATGAGCTGAGTTCGTTTTTGAATGGAAGATTGAGAAAGAACCGTGAAGAGGGTCATGTTCATTATTTGCACATAACCTTGTAAACTTTAACTGATCCTTTCCTATCTGTTATCAACCACAGCTGCAGAATGGACTGGAGATAACAAAAGAGACATTCAGGGGCATAAAACTATAGCTAAAACATTCCAAAGTCAAAGGCGCCTCTTTGGGAAGTCTACCTAGATAGCTGGGGATTTTTCTTTTCTCAATAGTTAACTTACTCACATTGCTCACGAATTTAAAAATAGAAAATGTGTGTTCCAGGGAATACTTTTTAAAATCCTTCATCTCTGGATTTTTCATCTCTCCAGCCCTCACAGGTAACAACTTACTTTTATTTATTAGTTTCAGGTCTATGCTCCCAGAATTTCTTTAGGCAAAAACAAGAGTATATGACCTCACATACATTTTAAGCTGTGGATCATTTAAAGAGCACAATATCAGGTGGAAATGATCTTTCTACAGAATTTTGTTGTTGTTGTTACAAGAAGAAAATATTATAGTGAACCGTATATGATTTTATTCTCCAGCAACAGTAGAGATAGCCCAGCCTATTAACCAGTACTAGGAGTCAATAGACCATTAGTTTGAAATATAACTCTGAACTGTTTTTCTTCATGCTTTAGCTGAGAAAGAGAATCTGCATTCGTGACTGTGAAGGCTAAATGGGACAAGGACGTGTCAGGCTCTGACAGGTACAATACAGGAAGATGATATTAATGATTACCTTTATGTGGGCTATGGTATCTTCTAACCTTCATTTGATATCAATGAACAGCCTTAAATTGTGGCTCAGAAGTATTAAGCTAGATTTACAAAGCAAGATTGCTGTTATCAAATATGATTTCTACAACAGACTGATCAACCCAACCTTCTTTTATTGCTTGCAGATGTCACTACCATTAGCCAAAGTTTATCGAGCCTCTGTAATTGTAGAGCCTTCTACAATTCATGGTGAGACTAATGAATTGGGAGAGACCTCTGGACCTCTAGAATGTCTAAGAAGGCAGTTGGTATCCTGCCATAGAAGGGGACACAGGGAGAGGAGCATCATACACTGGGGGCAGTTGGAGGGGAGGCTAAGGGAGGGACAGCGGGGGGTGGGAGGGGTGGAGAGGGATAACATGGGGAGAAATGCCGGGTGTAGTATGCACCTATGCAACAACTCTGCATGACCTGCACATGTACCCCAGAACCCAAAGTAAAATTTTAAAAAAGTTAAAAAAAAAAAGAAGGGGCCTATGGAGATTTGCAAAGGAAGTGAGGGTGGTCTGCCGTCTTTCTTTCATATATCTGAGACCAGGTAAACTGAATAGCTGCATGGACTTCCACAGCCCTGTTTTGCATAAAGCAGTGTTAATTTATAGGTTATGTTAAAAGCTTAGTACAGTGTCTTTAAACAATCTACTCTATGGAAAATATTTGCCTCACTTGTTTTATTATCTATCTATGCATCTATTTTACGTAATTCATATTACATATTATATATTTTTGAACATTTAAGGCTACATTTCAGACATCAGGTTCCTTAATCCTAAATGATTAGGTATGTTTATTTCCCAAGAACAAGGACATTTATTTGCATAACCACAGTACAGGTACCAAAAATCAGGAAATTTAACATTGAAACAATACTATTATCCAATTTATAGACCCTCTTTGAATTTTACCAATTGTCTCAAAAATGTTCTCTATAGCAGTTTTTATGTTTTCTGGGAAGAAATCCAATCCAGGATCAGTCAGATGCATTTTATTCTAATATGTCTTTAATCTTCTTTGTAATGGCACAATTCTTCAGCTTTTATTATCTTTCATCTTAAGGGCATTTGTGAAAAATACAGTTCCTCTGTAAATATCTCCCAATTTTCGTTTGTTTGATGTTTCCTCATGTCTAAACTCAGGTTGTACAAAAATGGAAGGACTATAAAGGACATGAACTCGTCGATTTTTATGGCTACAAATTTAAAGTACAATTAAAAAATACTTTAAAAATAAAAAAATGGAAGGACTGCTAGGCAAGTGATGTTGTATTCTTTTTAGTTCTTTCACTTTTTAAAATTTGTTTTTCAGACAGGGTCTCACTCTGGCACTCACTCTAGTTTAGAGTGCAGTGGTGCAATCACAGCTCACTGTAGCCTTGACCTCCCTGTCAGCCAGGCTGGAGTGCAATGGCATGATCATGGCTCACTGCAGCCTCAACCTCCTGAGCTCAAGCAATCCTTCTGCCTCGGCCTCCCTAACAGCCAAGACTATAGGCGCATGCTACCACGCCCAGCTTCAATATGATTCTAACAAAAACTCCAACCGGTTTTTTTTCTTTCTCTTAGTGGAATTTAGTAAACTAGTTCTAAAATTTATATGGAAATGTAAAGGACCAAGAATAGCCAAGGTTTTCTTGAGGAACAAAGTGAACGAACACACACACTTTACTAAATATCACAATTATTACAACATTCATATATAGAATGCCATATATATGCCTGTTGCCGAGGCCAGAGTGTGGTGGCATGATCTCAGCTCACTGCAATCTCCACCTCCTGGGTTCAAGCCATTCTCCTGCCCCAGCCTCCCGAGCGGCTGGAATTACAGGCACGTGCCACCACACCAGGCTAATTTTTGTATTATTATAGACATGGGGTTTCACTATGTTGGCAAAGTTGATCTAGAACTCCTGACCTCAATTGATCTGCCCACCTCAGCACCCCCAAAGTGCTGGGATTACATGAGCCACTGAGCCTGCCTGCCTGGTTGTTTTTTATTCTGTGCTGGATTCTATATTTGCAAAATTGTTTCTAGAAATAATTTGATGCCTAGGTTGATGCTATCTTTCTCTAGAGAAATGTGCCCCTGCCAGGAGCCTCGGACACTAGCAATCCAATTTAAGAGACTGAGGATTTGAGGTTGAGCTGCAGTCCTGACAATGGTGCACTAACTTCTAGTTCACCCTATTCAAAGACTGTAGCCCTTTGGGGTTCTAACACAAAGCAAAAAGTGCTCACCAGGGCCTCCCCTTCCTGGCAGCCCTGGACCCCAGCATGCCAGTGCACCCCTCCCTGCAATCCCTGCAAGGTCATCCAAAAGCATTGCTCAGCCTCTCAGGCTCCCCTTCTTAGATCATCAAATATCAGTGGAAATGCAGCTGCCCTCCCTGAGATTCCATCCTCCCTGGATCCTAGCATTACAACTACTCACTTTGTACTCACTTCTTATGATAGAGATTCCTGTATAGCATATGAATATATGAATTTGTCCATTTAACTTAATTTTTCAAATTAACTGGCAAAAAGGTGTTCACAACTTACTCATACGTTTTTTAATGTCTGTGGCACTTAAGTATGTTCCTTTTTTTCTTTTCTCTCTCTCTCTCTTTTTTTTTTTTGAGATAGGATCTTGCTCAGTCACCCAGGCTGGAATGCAGTGGTGCAATCATGGCTCACTGCAGCCTCAGGCTCCTGGGCTTAAGCAATCCTCCCACCTCAGCCTCCTAAGTAGCTGGGACCACAGGTGCATGCCATCACACCCAGCTAATTTTTGTATTTTAAAAAATACCACATATTTAAATAATTTGCAGAGACAGAGTCTTCCCATGTTTCTCAGGCTGGTCTCCAAATCCTGGCCTCAAGCAATCTGCCCACTTTGGCCTCCCAAAGTACTGGGATTGCAGACGTGAGCCACTGTGCCTGGCTTGTAATGTTCCTTCTTCATTCATAACATTATTTGTGTTCTCACTCTCTTTCCAGAGTTTTGCCATGTATTTATTCTCATCAATCAGTCAACTCATAATTGTGACATTCTTCTCTATTATATGCTTGTTTTATTTTTCTTTTGAGAGAGACTGTCACTCTGTCACCTAGGCTGGAGTTCAGTGGCACAATCATGGCTCACTGCAGCCTCAGCCTCCTGGGATCAAGCAATCCTTTCACCTTAGCCTCCCAAATAGCGGGACCTACAGGCACATGCCACCACACCAGGCTAATTTTTTGTTTGTTTGTTTGTTTTAGAGATGAGGTCTTGCTATGTTGTTTAGGCTGGTCTTGAACTCCTGGGCTTAAGCAGTCCTCCTGCTTTAGCCTCCCAAAGTGTTGAGATTACAGGCATGAGCCACCGCACCCAGCAGTATTTTTGTTTTCTATTTCATTGTTTTCTATTCTTATCTTTCTACTACTTACTTCTATTCACTTTCTTATTACTACTATATATTTATTTATTTATATTCTTTGGGCTTGTTTTGTGGCTCTTTAGGTTCTTTAGATGGATACTCAGCCCATTAATTTTCAGCCTTTCATCATTTCTATCTGATATGGTTTGGCTCTGTGTCCCCACTCGAATCTCATCTTGTAGCTCCCATAATTCCCACTCGTGGGAGGGACCCGGTGAGAGGTAATTGAATTATGGAGCAGGTCTTTCCTGTGCTGTTCTCATGATAGTGAATGGGTCTTACAAGATCTGATGGTTTTAACAACGGGAGTTGCCCTGCACTAGCTCTCTTTTAGTCTGCTGCCATCCACATAAGATGTGATTTGCTTCTCTTTGCCTTCTGCCATGATTGTGAAGCCTTCCCAACCATGTGGAACTGTAAGTCCAATAAACTTCTTTCTTTTGTAAATTGTCGAGTCTCAGGTATGTCTTTATCAGCAGCATGAAAATGAACTAATACACTATCTTAGTCTGTTTTAAACTGTATATTACATGCAAATATAAGCCTGAAAATTTTCATCTATTTTCTATGTCAGTTGTCACATATTTAAAAATGTGATATTTCATTACTGTTCATTCAAATTTAAAAAAAATTCATTAGGATTTATTCTTTAATTTGTGGGGTTCTTAAAACAACTTGTTAATTTTTGAACATATGAGAATTTTCTCCTTTTTTAAAATTTTAAATAGAGATAGAGTTTCGCCATGTTGCCTAGGCTGGTCTTGAACTCCAGGGCTGGGATTATAGATGGAGGTGAGCCACCACGCTCAGCCATGAGAATTTTCTTTTTTTTTTTTTTTTTCTTTTCTGTTTTTGAGACAGAGTCTCACTCTGTTGCCCAGGCTGGAGTGAAATGGCACAATCTTGGCTCACTGCAACCTCCACCTTCCAGGTTTAAGCAATTCTCCCGCCTCAGCCTCCTGAATAGCTAGGACTACAGGTGCGCACCACAACACCTAGCTAATTTTGTATTTTTAGTAGAAACGGGATTTCACCATGTTTCCCAGGCTGGTCTCAAAGTCCTGACCTCCAGTAATCCGCCTGACTCAGCCTCCCAAAGTGTTGGGATTACATGTATGAGCCATTGGCCCAGCCTGGGAATTTTCTATCTAAATTTGTTGTTGATTTCTATTAAATTTCATTTGGTGAAAGAAGATGCTGTGACTTCTTTCAGTCCTTTGAAATTTGTTGAGACATGAGTACTGCATAATCTTGGATTGCCCTTGAGAGTTACTCTCCACCCTCCTCTTTGCTCTGAATGGCTGGGGGCTAATCTTTATTCACTGAGTTATCAAGCCTCCCTTATCTACTAGCTTCTCTGTTCTGCCATATAGCAAGGTGGTAACTAGTAGGTTTTAGGTTTCAGAGGACATTTGAAACATTTATGGCTGCCTGGGTGCAGTGGCTTACGCCTGTAATCCCAGCACTTTGGGAGGCAGAGGCGGGCAGATCACGAGATCAGAAGTTTGAGATGGCCAGCATAGTGAAACCCCATCTCTACTAAAAATATCAAAAAAAAAAAAAAAAAAGAAAGAAAGAAGAAAAAAAGAAACATTCATGGCTATATTGTTCACTATTGCTCCCCAGCTGAAACAACCCAAATTTTAATCAGCAGTGGAGTATATTTAAAAAATAAACAAACATTTTGATGTCTTATACAATGAAAAATGTACAGTAATAAAATGGCAAATTACAGCTACTTGTGTATGAACTTCACAAACATTAAAAAAAGCAAGCCAAGAAGGAAGAGGAGGAGAGAAAAAAGAATGCATACATTGAATATGGTTCTCTTTTAAACAAATAAAATAAAATAAGCTATACTATTTAGAAATGCATACATATTTGGCAAAGTTATAAAGAGACTCAAGAAAATGTTAATTCCAAGTGTCAGGATAGGGGCCCAGTCTAGAAAGGACTGAAGTGTTCTCATCTAGGAGGGACACACAGAGATGTGTCTATGTTTATGTATTAACTTGAGTGGTGGTTATACAGACCTTTGCTTTAACATTCTTCAAGCCAGGGATCAGCAAATTGTGGGCCAAATCAGCCCAGTATCTGTTTTTATAAATGAAGTTCTGTTGGAACACAGCCATGTTCATCCATTATGTATTGTGTTGCATAGCTGCTTCCATGCTATAATAGCAGGCTAGAGCAGTTTTAACAGAGACTAAGCTAAAAATATTTACTATCAGGCCTTCAAGAGTGCATAAAACATAAACATATGATTTCAATCAGAGATTGCTTTAAACCATGTATGTAAATTTTGCTCGCTCTTCTGTATGGATGATACATTTCACATTTTTAAAAGAGGAAATAGAAAAGGAAAGAAAATGAATGAGATTAGCTCCTAATATGGTTAATGTGTACTCACTGATTTTAAAACTAAAACCCACTCATGTCACTTCATGTAAAGGGAAATTTATTATAAAGAGATAGATCTTAGGAACCCAACTGAACTTCAGAAGTGGGAGTAGCAACTCCAGGCAGTTTTTTCTTTCTTTCTTTCTCTCTCTCTCTTTCTTTCCTTTCTCTCCAGTCTGGTCCTTCACAGATGATAAGTAGCTCAGTCCCTATGTCCCAACTCCAAATTCCTGGGAGAGATTTCATTTACTGCAACTTGGGTTACATGCACTGGTGGTCTAGTTTGCAGTAACGTGGCAGTAGAGTAGCTGTGGCATGCGAGAAGGGTAGCACTTTTTTTTTCTTTTTTGAGATGGAGTTTTGCTCTCATTGCCCAGGCTGAAGTGCAATGGTGCCATCTTGGCTCACCACAACCTCCACCTCCCAGGTTCAAGGGATTCTCCTGCCTCAGCTTCCCGAGTAGCTGTGATTACAGGAATGCATCACCACACCCAGCTAATTTTGTTATTTTTAGTAGGGATGGGGTTTCTCCCTATTGGTCAGGCTGTTCTCGAACTGCTGACCTGAGGTGATCTGCCCTCCTTAGCCTCCCAAAGTGCTGGGATTAGGGATGTGAGCCACCCCCTGGCCGAAGGACAGTATTTCTGAGGAGAGATTGTGGGTGGGAAGCAATGATTTCATGTATGTAACAAAATAAGAAAGGAACTAGGCTGGACTTTGTTCAGAGGGCGATAAACAGTGGGTGAGTGACAGATGGGGAAACATTGCAGGGTCCTTTCAAAGTGTGTATAAGGATTAATTTGCATCCCGTATTGAAAATATTTATAAATTATTTCAATTCCTTGAAAAAGAAGTCTAAATGTGGGATCAGAATGAAGGAGAATGGTGACTTTTCTATAATGTGCAATCAAGCAAACTAGTGGAAAAATGATAAAAGGCAAAAAAGCTAACAACGACAGTGAAATAAAGCCTTCAAAAGAGTTTGATTTGCAAATTAGTACATGAGAGTTTACACATTTAAATAATTTTCTACACCACAATAGTAGTCCTTGTATGTATGAGAAACATGCTGCCCAGTGCAAGTCGGGATGTTTTGAATACTCACTAGAGGATGTGTGCTGGACCCTTCATGAAGAGCAGAAGTGAGCTAAACTCCCGCGTGCTTTGAGGTGCAAATGTGCATGAAACTAGCAGGAACTCTGTCCCACGTGCAGTGGGACAGGAGTGGCACAGCTCTTCCAGCCACCTCTGGCTCAGTTGGCTCCTTCAAGGCTCACTCGTGGGTTCTGTGTACGGGTGCCCGACCTTGACTCTCCAGATGAGAACACAACGTCCTTTTCTCTGTCTCTCCCCCAGGTGTCATAAGTGTTAATCAAAGGTTGAGGATACGAGCAAGAGGTGGCCGTCATCGCATTGGGGGACTCGCTGGCACTCCTGGGCAGGCAGCCTAACACTGAACACTGCACACTCTCTCCTTCAGTTTTGAGAATTTCTTGGCAAACCTTCACCCCTAGATGGGCTTTCCTCCACAGGCTGCGAGGCTTCGGCCAAGTGGCTCTGTCCTCCTGCTCCTCACCCCAATCACAGACTCCCTCATTCCTCCAGCCTCCTTCCTTGGATCTCTGCCAGCTCAACCAGCCTTGCTTCATTGTGCAAAACACTCCAGGTCACACCTCAGACAAACATTTATTCATGAGCTGTTCTTGCACCCGGCCTCCCCAGGGTAACATCTGTCCTCTATAGGACTAGCTCATGGTAAACCAGTGATTAAAATTTGTGAATAAAATTTATTCAGAGCATCTATTATGTGCTGGGTTCTTGAAAATATGGTAAGTTCTTGAAAAAACTTTATACCCCCAAGAAAGCCAGCATGTTAAAAAAAATGCATGCAAAAAATCATAATGGAAGTAAAACCTTACGGTAAATTGGGGTTGGAATAGATTGTGTAGGCGGTGGACTGGGTTTCTGTTTCCCTTCATTAGACAGTGGCTGCAGTAGATGTCAATTGGTACAAATTTTTCAAAATGTACCACACATGCTCAAAAGTAGAACGACTCATTAAAAGGTGTGAACATTTTTAAAGGCTGTGGACATATATATTGCCAACATGCTTTTCAGTAAGCTGTAGCAACTCACACTCTCCCCAGCAATACAGAGGGTTCTCTGCATTTTTAGTGGCATTGGAAATACATTCTACAACCTGTATGTGAAAAACACTTCCTTATTTGTGCTGAATTACTTTTGATGATAGATACAGGTGGGCGGGTAAGTAGATAGACAAATTCTAAACTTTATTATTTTTGGTTGGCTGGTGTGGTTTTGTGGTTATTGTTTTGTTGAGACCCTGTTGAGACAGGGTCATGCTCTGTCACCCAGGCTGGAGTGCAACAGCACTATCCCACGTGTAGTGGGACAGGAGAGACTGATTTCTCATCGTAGCCTTTACCTCCGGGGCTCAAGGGATCCTTCCACCTGAGCCTCCCAAATAGCTGGGACTAGAGGTGCCTAAACTTGAAAAGATGACAATTTTCCACAACTGAGTGCAGTCAAAAGAATGTGCTACAGAGTCAGAAAACAAGCCTAAAAAACAAGTTTAACAGGGCTTGGAACCACAACAGCACTGCTGGAATAACGGTGCTCAGGAACAACATTTATTCAGATAAATAATTTCTCGTGTTTATGTTCTACAAGGAAAAAAACCATGTATTTCACTAGATTAGTATACATTCTAAATAAGATAAGATAATACATGTAATAATTAGTATATAATAGGAGCTCAAAATGGTATTATTTGTTTTGAGAAAGTATATATATATATATATATATATATATATATATATATATATATATATTTGTTGTTGTTGTTTTTTTGAGATGGAGTCTCACTCTGTCACCTAGGCTGAAGTGCAGTGGAACAATCTTGGCTTACTGCAACCTCCGCCTCCTGGGCTCAAGTGATTCTTGTGCCTCAGCCTCCCAAGTAGCTGGGATTACAGGCGTGTGCCACCACATCTGCCTAATTTTTGTATTTTTAGTAGAGACGAGGTTTCACCATGTTGGCCAGGCTGGTCTCCAACTCCTGATCTCAAGTGATCCACCTGCCTCAGCCTCCCAAAGTATTGGGATTATAGGCCTCTGCACCCAGCCTAATTTTTTTTTTTAAGACAGAATCTTGCTCTGTTGACCAGGCTGGAGTGAAGTGGCAAAATCTGGGCTCACTGCAGCCTCCGCCTCTGGATTCAAGTAATTCTCATGCCTCAGCCTCCCAAGTAGCTGGGATTACAGGCATGGGCCACCGTGCCCAGCTAATTTTTGTATTTTTTGTAGATACAGGGTTTTGCCATGTTGGCCAGGCTGGTGTTGAACTCCTGACCTCAAGTGATCCACCTGCTTCAGTCTCCCAAAGTCCTGGAATTAGAGGCATGAGCCACTACACCCAGCCGACAAAGTTATATTATTTAAAGCCATGCCTCGAGCATAGCAGATGCATTAGCAAATCTGGAAAGTATACCAAAGGTCAAGTTCAGGAGGTGACAGCTGTGAAAAGTACTCCTAATTCTCCAGCCACCCAAGGAGAGCAAGCTTATTCTGATCACGTGGATTCACAGAATCTATATGTGCCCTGACAAGATTTGCCAGCAGATGCTTACAAAAGTAGCCATCGTGATCAAACTAGACAATCCAGTTACTATCCACATGTCATAGGTACACATCATCAGCAAAAACGGAGAAAACCAGAGAACAGCCCATGGCTATCATACCAAAAATGGTATAACACCATACTTAGCAACAGAATACAGGAAACTGAATGGCAAGACACATTTACAAGTAGATGCACTGACCAAAGCAAATTAAGAGTCTATATAAAATATTCGTTCTATACATGAGTATATACTGGCATAATTTTAAACGAAAAAATTATTTTATGTCCAACTACAAATTTTTAAAAACATTTTATTTTGAAATAATGATAGAGTCACCAGAAGATTCAAAGAAAGTGTACAGGGAAGTGCAGTGTACCCTATACCTAGCCTCCTTCAGTGGTAACATCTTCAATAATTATAGAACAAAGTCAAAATCAGGAAATTGACATTGAAATGCTCCACAGAGCTCATTCAGATTTCATTGGTTTTATAAGCACACGTGTGTGCGTGTGTGTGTGTGTGTCTGTGTGTGTACTTCTATACAATCTTTTTAGGAGTGTAGCTTCCTGTAAAACACAATTGAGATATACAACTGTGCCATCACTGCAAGGCTGCCTCATGCTGTAACTGCCCAGTGGGTTCACCCTGCCCACTGCCTAGACAGAACTGATTTATCAAGACGGGGAATTTTGAGAGAGAAAGAGTCATTCATGCAGAGCTGGCTGTGTGGGAGACCAGAGTTTCATTATTACTGAAATCAGTCTCCCTGAGCATTTGGAGATCAGAGTTGTTTTTTTTTTTTTTTTTTTTTTGAGATGGAGTCTCGTTCTGTCGCCCAGGCTGGAGGCTGGAGTGCAGTGGCGCAATCTTGGCTCATTGCAGCCTCAGCCTCCTGAGTAGCTGGGATTGTAGGTGTCCACCAGCATGCCTGGCTAATCGTTGTATTTTTTTTGTTAGTAGAGACTGGATTTCGACGTGTTAGCCAGGCTGGTCTCAAACCCCTGACCTCAGGTGATTCACCTGCCTCAGACTCCCACAAGTGCTAGGATTACAGGTACAAGCCACTGCACCAGCAGAGTGTTTAGCTTTTTAAGAAATGATATTTTTCAGAGTGACTGTACTACTTTACATTACCATCAGTGTAGGGAAATCGATAATTTTCTATCTTTCATAGTTCTTAGTTGGGATAGGCCACTGTAAGAAAAAACAAATAGAAAGAGACAAATAAACAGAAGATTATTAACATGTATACCTCAGGTAGTATACAGGGGAGATACCCAGATAAATTGGTATATTTCGAAGAGGTAGCTTTGAACTCAGACTTAAATACCATGTCTGCTGAAACAAAAGAAGGGTGTAGAGAAAGTTGGTTATGCTCAAGAAAAACTGGCAAGTAAGAGTAAGATTTGCTGTGGAGACTTAAATCAGTACCTTCTCCATCAATAAAGGATAACCGCCTCCAGTCACTTAGAGTCATCTTCTCTTCCTGGGACAACATGGATGATAAGGTAACTTCCACTCTGTTTTCAGAGCTTCTCCTGTGGTTGCAGTTTCCCAAAATAAACAGCTCAAAATAAGAGAGGGAGAGTTATTATAAGGAATTGGCTCATGTGATTATGGAGGCCGAGAAGTCCCACCATCTACCATCTGGAAGCTGGCAGCTGGGGAAAGCCAGGAGTGTCATTCAGTCTGAGTCCAGAGGCCTGAGGACCAGGGAAGCTGATGATGTAAACTGCAGTCTGAGGGGAGGAGAGACTGATGTTCTAGCGCAAGTCATTTGGCAGAAAAGAAGGGCCAAATTCAGGGCTGGGCAAGGTGGCTCATACCTGTAATCCCAGCACTTTGGGAGGCCGAGACAGGTGGATCACTTGAGCTCAGGAGTTCGAGACCAGCCTGGCCAATATGGTGAAACCCTGTCTCTACTGAAAATACAAAAATTAGCCGGGCATGGTGGTGTGGGCTTGTGATCCTGGCTACTTGGGAGGCTGAGGCAGAAAAATCACTTGAACTTGGGAGGCAGAGGTTGCAGTGAGCCAGGATCGTGCCACTGCACTCCAGCCTGGGCAACAGAATGAGACTTTGTCTAAAAAAAAAAAAAGAAGAAGAAGAAGGGGCAAATATTTCCCTTCCTCTGCCTTTCATTCTATTAAAGCCCTCAACAAATTCAGTGATGCTCATTCCCATTGAGGAAGGCAATCCACTTTACTGAGTCCACCAATACAAATGCTCATCTCATCTGGGAACCCCCAAAGACACAATCAGAAATGACATTTTGCCAAACATCTGGGAACCCCATGGCCCAATCAAGTTGACACATAAAATTAACCATCACATAATGGTTAGATATGAAATGGGAAATAGGGTAGGGAGTACTTAGAGGTGGGAGGCGACATTGTCATCACAAACAGGGTGGTCAGGGAACCTGCCCCAAGACAGTAACGTGTAAATCGGAAGGAGAGACTGGGGGTTCGAGAGGGGAAGTACCTCCCCCGTGAGCCTCACCCTCATCCACTAACTTCTAACTCTGTGTTCTCTCCTTGATCATAACTGGCTGTTTTATTTTCATAGTCATGAGATGTTAGAGATGGAAGTGACCATTGGGGATGGCCATAAGTTTCACTGAAGATCCCAAGTCTATTAAACAAAAAACTGAATTTTTGTGGTAAATCAGATTAACTAGTGATGACTTTCTGGGGCATGGCATAGAGCAAGATCCAGAGATTAGGTCTGGGCTCATAGCAAAGAGTGATGTTTGCCTTAAGTTCAGCAGGAGGAGTGGTGACTTTAGACAGTCGGCGGCCCATTCCTCTTCTAGAGTGACCCTCCCATTACATGATGAGAACACAGGCAGCTGGAGCATAACAGACAAGAAGTGGCTGGATTTTTAAAATGATCTTTAACATGAACACTTTCATGCCTGCACTGTATCCATGATTGAGTAAAGGGAAGTAAAAAAAAATGGAGGTGGCTCACGCCTGTAATCCCAACACTTTGGGAGGCTGAAGTGAGTGGATCACCTGATGTCAGGAGTTCAAGACCAGCCTGACCAACACAGTGAAACCCCATCTCTACTAAAAATAAAAAAATTAGCTGGGTGTGGTGACCAGTGCCTATAATCCCAGCTACTTGAGAGGCTGAGGCAGGGGAATTGCTTGAACCCAGGAGGCGGAGGTTGTAGTGAGCCGAGATCACACCATTGTACTCCAGTCTGGGTGACAGAGTGAGAATTTGTCTCAAA